CGGAAGCCGACTGGAAAACTCTGTTCACTGATATATAAGCCATTTTCAGGCATATTTTTCTTGAGTGAACTGTAGCCGTATCCTATTCGACCTGAGGGTGTCCGCCAGCTCACGAAATCGTAAAAGAAACTGTGGTCCGAGACCAAAAACGTAAGGTTACCAGGAGGTAAGGTCGATATTCTGGTCTCCCGGAATCCTTTTACCTTATCTGTTCTACAGAGATTTCCCCCGTGCACTTTTCAAACGCAATAAGGGCCGGAGATAGGGATCTCAGGCGTGAGAACGTATTGGAAAAAACAAAAGCGCCATATCTAGAAACAGGAACGAGAACAATTCAACCTAGAATATACCGCGACAGTATGGGTTCCATATACAAAGAAAGACAAATATAAACTGGAAAGGTATACAGAACCAAGCTGCACGATTGTGAAGTATGAAAGGACTGCTCGTGTCATCATGGAAATAAAAACAAACCTACAGTGGGTGTCACTAGAAGACAGGCGAAACTGCATGATATACAAAATGACTAATAAACTGGTAAATGCACCAACTTCTAAGTACCTAATACCAGCTCAGCCGAGAAGAACAAGAAATAGTCATGCCCTCTAGTGCCTAAGTTCAAAATTTCCTTTTTTTTTCAAGTATCATAGAGTGGATCACTTGGGGCATATGCATCACCACTAGATAACTTTACAATGTTTAGAGTTAGATATGCAAAGGCTAGGTGTAACAAGTCGTTCGGTGATATATGGCCATCTATTTCATGACAACTTAAATATTAAGATTTACGATTAAGGTGTGGCACATTCGGGCTGGGGAAGCACAGTTTTAAAACTTGATTGTGTATCTCTGGTGGAGGTAATGCCAATTTTCAGTAAACTGTATACAAGCCATTCATTGTAAAGGGGGTTTAGTTTACGAGGAAAACTGTCAATAGATTGATTGTAGCGAAGCTGAAACCAGACATCACAGAATCAATGGCTGGTACAGTACATTTACGTACATTTACACAAAAGCTGCAGCAGGGATTTTCGCTACGGAAGCCTGAACATAAAATATGTACTGTAGATACAATATAGAGAGATAACAAAGAATCTAAGATAACCTTGAGAATACTGCAAAAACAAATAAATAATGCTTACCTTCACATTGTCTAGCCTAACAAACTACTGCTCTCTTTATTGTTACGCAAACACATTTATACTCGTATATAAAATGGTGACAGGCCTTATAACTGTGTCTTGCTACATAATGTAACCCAACACCACAGAGTGTCTGCTACAGCACCGGTTACCATGGTGACAGACGTCTGGTCCAGGTCATTTGGAGAAGAAGAGGAACAGGAAACAGAGAAAATACACTATTCTTTCCTTCTGTGAAGGTAAACATTTGTTTGCATCCTTAAACATAATAACTTAAACATGATAAATATCTATGATGACAGACATATGCTTAATACAATAAAGGCAAAGAAAATGCTGGAAAAAAAGCAGATGAAATGGTAATGAAATAGTAGACAAGAAAAGAAACGCAAATATTAGCGCCTGGCTCATATAGACACATGCAGAGGACAAGAATACATAGCAACACAAGAGCTAGAGATACACCAATGATCTAACCTAAAATGAGATACCTTAAAAAGCACAAGACTTACGTAGTGCCTCCAGAAAGTACTATGATTGTACGGGACTGAATGGGCGAGGATCTGGATAATGGTATTATCAGAGCTGAGGAGTCGAGAGACAGATGACTGTGTCAGTTTCCTGAGTCTAGCGTCAAAGGTATCTAGCCAGAGGTACGTGTTTTATCTGAAGAAACAAGACAGGGAGTAAGCTGGAAGGAGATCTGCTATACACAAGCTACTGTCAACAAGGATATGTGCAAAATGGAAGAAAAATTATCAAGTGGTTGCTTGGAAAGATACCTCTATATCTCAAAAAGTTACTAAAAGAGAAAGTTCTTTGAAAGGAAACGTGAATGGAAAAAATAACTCATGGCCAAGAGAGGAAAAGATTGTGAATATATCTTGTATGATTCACGCAGAAATTCAAGACAACTTTACAACAGATTGTGTGTGACATTTCACGACCATATTGCAGAGCACAAACAGTGATATCCACTTTGAATTCGCGCATTTGACAAGATCTACAAAAGATCTACAAATCTCATATGGAAACCAAAACCAGTAAATGACAGATCATGAAGATAATTTCAGTTAATGAAATAAAAATGACATTCGTTGGACCTGATCCCGCATTACGATTAAAATGTGTTTTTTTCCTTAAATACGCAAAACACAAAACACCTGGATCGAATCCCTACATCCTTGATTTGGGAAACTAGAACTGTCTCAGGTAAAGATGAAGACATGATGAAGACGTCTTGGCTGCATAACGTACAGTTCCGTTACGGGAAGCCTGAGTGTGGCTCCCATGCCGGGGGTAATGTTATCAGAGCCGGCGCTAAAGTCCGCGGAGTCTTGGGCCGGTCGTGCATTAGCTCAGCCCCGGCGGTAAAATATTCATACGGCCGTTATCTATCTAGGTAAGGACGAGCTGGGAGTATGGGAAGAAGAAGCGCAATGGTGTATGTGTGCTGTTTTAGTGTATGTATATGTATGTCTTTTTTCACAAATACAGTAAGGTCGCAGGTATAGGCAAGTGTAACAGATTTGCATTAAAATAGATTTCAACACTTCAAACAAAAGGTCAGCATTACGAAGCAAAAATGCAATTTACCAGAAGAAGCGCAATGGTTTATGTGTGCTGTTTCAGTGTATGTACATGTGTGTCTATTTCCACAAATGCAGTAAGATCACAGTTAAGGTAGTGTCAAGTGTAACAGATTTTCATTAAAATAGATTTCAACACTTCGAACAAGAGGTCAGCATCACGAAGCAAAAATGCAATTTACCAGTGCCTCTCTAGTGCGATCCATGCAGATAATGTCAGGTTCAGTCAGTCAAAAAGCACGTTGGTGTCCTATATATATAGCGTTTTATTCCACTACAGATGTAGAGTTATATAAGCTACAGAGAGCACTAACGATAGCATGCGTAAAACATAGGCAATGGTTTTGCGGAATATGAGCGTAGGAACTGTGAGTTTACATCATCACAGTCACAATTGAGACAAATAACTCTGATAAACCAGGACTGTTGCCATCAACGCGGAGTTCGATAAATAGAGGGACTTTTGATTAATTACAATGCAAACTACATTTAATCACAACAGACCCAAGGGGTGAAACAACGGTCTCCTACCATAATACTGGTTCTGAACTACAGACGACCCACAGAACATACCATACTGTCTATGATACGGAAAATATCACTGACTTAGAACATAGACTCCGCCTACAGATACACCCTGTTTCCTAATGGTCCGTCCACATACATGTTCTTCCTTCCTGATCCATTTCTACCCATTTGCTGTTCTCTTTCGTTTTTGTCATGTATTTTGTCACTGTATACCTGTATGTCTGGTGGCCATGGTGAGGTTAAAATTAGCTATAGCTAGAGTACGTCACCACCATGTCCTGTATTATCCATGTTGAATTGCAAATAAAAAATAAATAAAAAAACATACGTGAAACAAGTTCAACCTACCTGACACGGAAGTTGTCGCCAGTGCTGTCCGATGTTGCACTTGGTACCTTGTGGAGTAGTGCTGTGACATGCACGGCCAAGAAACCGTCCGTCCGGTCTCTCTGAGAAACGTCCTCGGCACAGAGCAAACGGACGACTGAGAGTGATCGATCAGTCGGAGGGGAGGGATTGTCGTCTGGGATTCACGTCCAGATAAAGCGGAGATCCTCTCACATACTTCAGTCTCTCCTCCGTCAGTCAGCGGCGGCGCACGGCGGGAAATCAGTGTCAAGTCACCGCCACGATTTGTCAGAACGGTGGTCGGATGTTGCGGAGTACTTATAGTGACTTATGTTATAGTATAGAGCGTTCCCTCACAACACTCTGTCTTAAGTATCACCTGCCTTAAAACCCCTGGACCTTAAATATCAGAATAATGTGCTCGGTCAAGAAATGTACATTCTGTACAACTTGACAAAAATTATATTAAAAATCAAAGAAACCCGGGAAAATAAAAGAAGCCAGTGCAGCAGAGGTTTACTTTGGGTTAGGGGATATGATCTGGGCACAATACAGACAGACGTAGATTCTAGGCTGTTATATATTTTATCACTACATCGGTAATTTGACTCTTAATTAATTTAAGAGCATTTATTCTAAAGATAACTTCATGATATAGATAATGAGATACACACACACACACAGAGAGAGAGAGAGAGAGAGAGAGAGAGAGCAGCTATGTGAAAAATATTAAAAAGAAATAATGACAGAAAATGAAACGGAACAATGCTGCAGTTTGGTTGAAAGCCGCTATTGTCACTATTGCATTGCATGTGTTCTAAGTTGGAAAGTTTGACAACTTTATCTGGCAAAATACCAATCGCCCGGTTGGTTTTGATGAGGCGTAAAAACAACTTCGTGGATTTACATTCATATCATACACAAGAAAACTGTTACTCGAGCAACTGGATAGATTTTGAAAACCCTTAGGCCCTATAATACTCCACAAGAACCCAGAATAGGATCCATATACGCTGCCAACTGTGACCAGACATAAGGCCATGTTGATTTGATTATATGGATGACATCCTCTGGGAACCCCAAAACTGATGCGCGCGTGCGAATAAAAAAAGTTTTGCAAAAAAAAAGTTGCTTTCACTATGAAATCTACGTGGTCATGAAGGTTGAACAAATGGCACAGAATATGTTATGGCGAATAATCTACCCTTCGAATTCATTTCTTTACATTTTTGTCTTTTTTCCTTTGACTTTGGCATTATTATTGGTATCGTTTCTAAATGTTTTCCTCGCAACTTATGGTATATTTTTGCTCATTTAGCAACTGTTTTGCACGATTTACAGTATGGTTGAAAACTTTTTTTTTTTTGGAAACGGCCGAAAATTCATGCGCGCGCGGATGTCATCCATATAATCAAATCAACATGGCCTAATTGAGAACGAGAGAAACACAGGTTGATATTATGTAAATTTAGTCGCAAGTGACTTCTATTTACCTTTGCACAATTCTTTGGCGTCCTTCTATCATCCAATAAACACGAAATTTTTATGGGTCAGTAAAACGACAGGGTGCTCGACCTGGAACCAAGAGGTCCCGAGTTCGAGTCCTGACATGCCACCGATCTTGTGCCCTTGCAAAAGGCACTTTACACGACTTTCCTCACTTCCCTTCAAGTGAGTATTTGTTTCTATGTGTGGGACACAACACCAGCAACAGCTGCCATTGTCCCACGTGTATTGTATTATTACGATTTCAATAAATCAAATCAATTTTCTTACCGGAGATTGAGATTAACCTAACCTACCGTCCCGTTATATTTCCTCGATACAAACTGATGATCCCAGCTCTATCTAAGTCGTCCCACAACTTGATCTCCATCTCGAAATCATGATTGGCCACTAACACGAATGTTCGGAAGGTGTCTTCGTAGTAGTGGCTAGTGTAGTTCCGCCATGTTTGTGTGATGAAGCCGTACGCGTCGGTGACGTCGCAGACGTGCAGGGCCGTGAGGAGGGCCACAGCGCCGGTAGACGGGCGGTAGATCCGCTGGTAACGCCCGTATCCAAACGTGGAGTTCAGCCACCTGAAGGCAGATATACCTTGAAACTTTTATTGTACATTCATGCCCTATCAGGCTAAGTACAGGTGAACAGATGAAAAGGTATATACAAAGAGGACTACTGATGCTAATCTAACTACATCAGGTCTAAATTACTCTAATGCAGAGGTTCGGCTTCTTCTCGTCTCTTTGTGATGTTAAAAGGTGAACAGATGAAAAGGTATATACAAAGAGGACTACTGATGCTAATCTAACTACATCAGCTCTAAAACTACTCTAATGCAGAGGTTCGGCTTCTTCTCATTTCTTTATGATGTTAAAGATATAATTTGAAATGGGTACAGGATGATCAAAGCGCAAAAGAAAGATGAATTTTTCACTATTAGTCAAGGATTGGAGTATGGAAACGTTCTTGTGATATATTTAAAAAGATTGTTTCTGTCATTAATCTTCTACCTTGATTATGCTGAGGTCACATTTCCAAACCAGTTGGGAAGTTTGCATGAACGAAAAACGATTCTTGTCAAGAATAGAAATAGTACTCATGATAATCTTTTAAACTTTGTGTTTTGTTGTATTTTATGTAGTGCTTTTTGTTCCCGAAAGTTGCCTGGGTTCCGGTTTGGAAATGTGATCTGAGCATACGTCATTGGCAACACAACAGCGTCCTCTAGCAGCTAGAGCCATCAATGCAAGTTGTCATGAGTTCAGATTGACCGAGTGACAGCTAGAATATTGGGGTAATTCACCTGTATTTCAGATATGATAGGAAGTCAGGGTGGATCATTCTGAACCGGCTTGCCTTCGGTCTCTCACCGAACAGCCCTGGCGGTCTGTGGCTGAACAACAGGCAAACGTCACAACTTTCGATTGACAAAAACACGGTTACGCCAATGTTTACTACATGCATTGCGATCAGTATGTGGAACGTGTTCTATATCATTGTACGTCTACCTTTCGACCTTTGTAAAATGTAGTTAGGCCACAACAAGTAATTTTTATGGCTGGCATTAGAGCGCGCATTAATTTTCGCCTGATTTGAAAAAAAAAATGTTACCTTCTGTAAGTGGTCAACATGCCAAAAATGGGTAAAGATCTCAGTGCCATGCAATGTCTTTTACTTGAGTGTAGTGCTGCATTTGATGATATCAAAGTATGAAAATGTAGGAACCTTGTTTGTTTTTTTGCCCGCCTTGTTTTTTTCGCCCTATCGCATTAGATTTGTAGTTTGCTGAGGATATCATCCAATCAAATTTACTTGCTGTGGCCTTAGTTACTTACGATTCACTGGTGTCTTCACCCTTCTGAACAGGTTTCCAGGACAACATGGCATCCATAAACAAGTAGTCCCTCTCTAGAGTAGGGATGTCAACGTAAATCGTCTCCTTACATAGGAAGAAAAACAAAAACAACAGATCAAAACAAACAAGTTTGCTTAAATTCAAAGATAGACAAATATTTTGCTTACACAGGCTGATTATTCTTGCATTAATATAGTTTCATATAATGACGGAACAATGTGCTTGAAACACAGGAAAAGGGATCCAGTATCTGCACATTTGTACACTGAATGGCGATTGGAGAGTGAAAACCAAACGTGTACTGCATTTTTTTACACAACCGCAAGTCGGCGTTTTTAACACGCTGCAGTTTCAGTTACATTTACGGTGAAATAAGGCGAGCATCTGCGCCCTCACCGTTGTGTTTGGCACTTGAACAAAGCCGTATTTCCTGGCGGAGATGAGGGAACTTTTCAGGGTCGTGACGGAGTGGAAGTAGAAAGACGTCCGCCTTCCGACGTCCTTCTCAAAACCCTTCACAATAGCAGCATTCATCCTGACAACATCAAGATGGAAAGGGATGTGAACATCATTCTTTTGAACAACCATTCAGTAGCAGCGTTGTGTGCACTTAGCTAGCAAATGTAACAAGATGTCCCTCCCCCCATGCAAATATTGTTTGGTACTGTCCCAAAATTGAAGCCTCGTCCTACCTGAAGATGTAGTCATGGGAGTCTATTTCTTTCCCTTTCCCAGACGCCCTAAGATTCCCGCCGTTTCCAACAACTGCACACCGTACAGGTGCGCCGCCTTGCGACACGTTGAATAGCGACCGATGAACCGTGCCGTTGAAATGCTGTACAGCAGACGTAACATCTGAAACAAATCGAAGTGTTGGAGTGTAAACAACGCGGCTCTAAGTCGTAAGGTGAAAACAGAATCAATGGTGAATGCAAAAGCCAACATCTTGAAACCTTACACTTAACCTCAAGAAGGACAGCAACCAGGATACTAGTATTTATTTTGGGCCGACTCCAAAAACCAGTACAGTACTAGTGGCCCAAGGCGACAAATTTTCCTCACCTTCCCATGAAACATTGGCCCAACCGTAGGGTGGTCTGTATCGTTTGAGGCGCTCGTATTTGCTGAAAGTCACGTGACTTTTGGTCAGGAGGACTGGAATTTCCCGGTTGATGACGTATTTTTGTATTGGCGGTTGCATGATGGGAGTTGAGTGATGTGCATCTAGGAACCAGGCTAAAAGGGTTGAAATGAAATAAACAAAACAGGAACAGGTTTACAAGTTTCCCGGCTTAACCCCGAACTCATGTGAGCTCGGTAATAAATATGAGAGTTTATTTTTGACTTGTAATGCTTTGCAGACGTAACCGGGGTAATTCGATGGCAACGGGTATAAATTTGAATTAGCGTCAATCCCAAAAGTCTGTCTCTGAGAAGTTTGAAATTATCATGATTTTCGCCTGATTTTGAAAAAAAATTGACTTTGGCTTCTGCCGGTGCCGAAAATGGGCAACTATGTTTTAAATAACTAACGGTTCGGAGACTATCCAACAAAATTGTGGCACAATGGTTCGCGTTTGATCGCAAATGTTGACACTGACATGTTCCATCTTATCCAATCCAACCCAGTAAAGTAGCTACCCAGGATGGTACGGTTAGCATTGCTCAGAATTTCTAATTAATTGAGGTCTTTGTAACAGCCCTGATCAGTCAAATCTCCTTCATGGACAGGTAATACTGTTGAATACATGGTCTGTTTGGTTGTGATATTATGTTTTGTCACTTCAGTTTTTGTTTAACAAGACTTGACCTCAAAATTTGAAAATGAATCTCTTTTTTTTGGCCCACCGTGTTTTTTTTCGCCCTATCGCATTAGATTCGGAGTTTGTGGAGGATGCCATCTATAGAATTTACTTGCTGTGGCCTTACCTGAGCTCTGTCTTCCCACAGGACGGCTTTCTCCAAGGTTTCTTAAGGCAATGTAGTCTCCGTAGTAAGTCTCCAGTAGACAGAAGAGAATAACAACGTAACAGGCGATGGCTAGCAGTAGACAGGCTTGCTTGACTCGGAATGTAGGGACGCTGTGGCGTAACGGGCGAAAATCTTGTTTTCTCGTCATAGTTTGTCCAGATCGGGTACAATCTTCAGACGATTGCGGTTGGAAGTTTGGTTAAGCCCTCAGCATGCATACGACGCAAACAAGATTTTTTAAAAATGTTTTGTCGACAAAACGCCAAATCAATACGTGGCATACCTTCCTTGAGAAAGACAAGCACTTACATGTAGTTCAAGTACTAGTAAGTCTTCCAATGGGAGATCATCAGTGACGTCATTTCGGACTGTTCCAAAAGGAATACATGTACTCGTGTGGGAAGGGGTATTGTTGCGATAGAACGTTCCACCGGCAAAATGACAAAAAACCTGCCGTAAGTTTCGTGAACCATTACGCTTGAGTGCAAGGTGCTACACTGAAGTGAAATACATAGCTGTGCAGATTTAATCGTGATCTTTATCTGTCAATATTATAGGGTTTTTGGTCAGATAAGCTATTACCAAAGGTATATGCGTTTGTATGGAACATAGGACGGAATTAAAACCTCTCCCGTTAATGAAATGTTGTTTGGTGTTTGTTAAAATAAAATTGTCATTTGATGGGGAATATGATAAGTTAATTTGATTTTTGCACCATGATTAGTACATTTTTACAATAGCTACCCACACGCCAAAATTGAAAAAAAAAAAAAAACCTTTTAGGTCGCCGACTGGAAGCAGACTTGTTGGAGCGGGAACCCTTCTCTCCGTGGCAAAACTCCCTCGGCGGCAAAATCGTCCCTCCGCGGCATAACTCGCGTCGCTTACCGAAAAAATAATGCCGCCCCCAACAAGTCTGCGAATGAGGCTATAGGAAATGGACATTCTAGAATAACACATGACGTATTGAAGAGCAAAATTATCGAGGAAATTCATGATCAAGATAACTTCTTGTCAAAACTGCTGGGTTGAAATAAATGGTAAAAAATGTCAACTGTCATTGATTATTCATTGATCTTATTGGTACTTCTCTTTGACCACAAGCACACTTCCATTCTTGTTCCAGTTACCACCAGTAGTTGTAAGTTTGTACCTGAAGTTGAAAGTTCGTGCCTGTTTCTTTGTGTTACAAATTTACAAATTCAAACACTCAAAATCCTAGGAAATAAAACCAAAATCCTTGTAACACTGTATTCTTTGACTGCAACCCTTCCAGGCTGTTTTGGCATTGTTTCCCTCATGAAACTATTCTTTCGTCTTAGACTTGATGCAACACTACCTACATGTATGGCCTATGGTCTACATGTACCTAGAAATAAAGTAGACAACATAAAATAAGATGAAAGTAAAAAATCAGTGCAGCACATACAAGAGGTCAAACCAAATGTAAACCTTTGTTATTAAGGGCATAACAATGGCTATGAGTCTTGCTAAAAATTTATCGGCCTTCATTCACATAAAAGAAAACTCATGTACATGGTAATGTCTCTTACACTTAACTGGTGGTAGACGTACATACACTGTACATGTATATCCCTTTGACAGCCACTATCATGTCATTGCATTTTCTTTCTTACTTGTACAATGCTAAATTTGTGAAGTGACACTGTAGAGATTTAGATAAATATAACTACTCTGATCAAACACTCTTATCTGACATCTGTTTCAAGTTTCTTACTTTTAAAGTAAAGTAACCAGTTGACGAATAACTCTGACTAAAACACTCATATGACAGTTTATAAAGAGACACAATCATTTATCAAAACCAATTGTACTTTAAAACTAGAGACTAGTTTTGAAACACATGAAATGTTAACATATAACAATAGTGCAGCCTTGGGACTTGCTCTGCCATGTCAGCTGCTCTCAGTAGTTAACCCAATTATATCCCAACAGCCAATCAGCATCTCACAGGTGTATGTATGTCATGTAACCATGGTTACAGATCATACTGCTTCCCTCGCCCTCCCAACATACTACTTCCCTTGCCTTCTTTGGTGTCTTCTGGGCCTGAAAGGAAACAGACATCATTCTTATAGAGACTGAGCTAAAACTATATCTAACATTGACATCCATGAATATACTTGGCACTCGTACATGTATGACATACAATGGCATACTGTATTGGTAATGGACTAACTGGCACACGAAAGTCGGCAAAATGCAAATATCACAAATCAATATAACCTTATGGACACCCGATAATGGATTTTAGTTTCAGATTTCCCTGCAATTTTAAAGTGTTGTGGTTTGAAAATCATCCTACCAAAATTACCAATTAAATGTGCTTTTTAGCAGTTTTTTAAAAGCTCAACATGCTTAAAAGTATCACACACATCATTCACATAACACATGGGGACCATAAAATCTATTCTTGAACAAGATGAAATTCTAGATTCTTAACTTTTCTCTGAAGACAAAAATTTTATACTTACAGCACAAGTTCCACGTTGTCAATAGCCCACTGGTCATGTCCCTTCCCATCATGCTCTGGCTGCCACCAGCGGAAAACCGTGGCGCGCGTTCTCGCGGGCTGCGGGATGTTGTACGATACTCGCTGCGGCCGCATGAACTCTGCCGGGTCATGTGACTTAATGAGGTACCAGTCTATGCCATTGTTAGTGCTGTATTGGAGGACGACTGCCTTGTTTGGTGCTTGGGCAGAGTCCAGGTTGATGTTACATGTCGGCGTCTGGTCTCGACTTCCGATTTGTAGTACGAACATGATCTTACTGTGGAATGGAATCAACTTAAACAAAGTTGCCTTTCCAAATCAGTGACAATGACTAACAAGTATTATTGTGAGCAATACTGAATGAGTATTAAATGACCCATAAATGCTCAACATGAGATGATGAATCCGTGCAGAGTAATGCTATAATAACATTTGGAAATGCCACATTATAGGAGCTATGTCATTATCTTATGTATTTTTCCATCTAAGTTCGTTGCTAGAAATGTTCATGAACAAGTATCATTAAAGACTTGAGATTAAAAAAAACTGAAACCAACGTTTCGACCCTGGCCCCCACCCGCAATTAAGTACACAATAGGGACTTTAAAGGGGGGTTCCAGCTTAGCCTACATTGTACCTTCGATAAGATCTGAGAGGTACAGGAACAGTGCCATTCCATACCTGTCAAAACTCTTGAACAGTGCTTTGTCTACTGTATAATCACCCGATTACAAAGATTCAGATTGCTGCACAGATTCAGATACATTACAATTCTTGAAGTAAAGATGACTGACCTGGACATTGTTGTGTCCAGTTCCACTGACCGGACCTCCCTCACCCCACAGCCGTTGAAGTACAGCGACTTCAACTGTCCATAAGGGTGCAGGGGACCACAGCCCTGTCCGATAGCCCCACCATGGACATGAGACCACATGGTTTTCGACGCCCCTTTATCAAAACCATCCTTCAGGTGGTTCCACACTTTGTTTACAGTTGGTTCACATCTCTCTCCTGATATGGTGGGGAAGACAGGGACTTTTAGTTACATGCATTGTTCACCTTATTGTCACAACAGTGAATGAAAGATATTGATATTAAACATACAAAACTTGTTCACGCTAATACAGGTCTCAAAATACCACAGGTAAAATTGGAGTTGCGCAGGTATTTCTGATGCACCAAATCTGTACTGGTCCAGATTTGACTGTTGACATTGACTATAAAGATTAAAAGAACAGTTTTTAGTATTATCCGTCCTAAGCGTCCTTCTGAGCAGTATACTAAATTTTCAGTGTTATCTGCACCAGTACAGGTATGCTGAAAAAAGGATTTCCAGCTCTATCAGACTACATGTATGTCTGTTGTAAGTGATGCTCTGTATCTGTATTAGTATAACTGCCCTTCGGTGTAACGTAGTATATAGTAGAGGGGATTCATTCCTCTAGCTAACCGGCATCTCACACACGCAGTCTGTCACACAGGCTGAATAAAAGTTGTTAACAGGAACTATGTGCAAGACGTCCGTTAGCTTGAGGAATGAATCCCATCTACTACATTTGTACATACTGCCCTTCAGTGTAACATACCAGCTCACAGCTGAAAGCTGAATCAGATAAAGCCTTACCTTGGTACCCATCGTCACAGGCACACTTCCCACCATCCCCACAGTGCCCATGCCCCCCACACAGGTTCTCATCACAAGCCTCTCCCACATAGACGTCATCAACTGCCCACTGTGGGGCTGGCTGGAGGGGAGAGGTCAGCTGAGTCCAGTGGAACTGTGTTGTACTGAAAAGGACAATCGGAATCATTTCTGAAAAACATGTTAACTTAGCAAACATGAGCAGTCCTGTACATGTGAAGAAGGAATGTGATCTCAATCCAGGTTTAGCTCACTGAAGAACCACTCTTGCACTGGTCAAGACAAAGAAGACAGATGCTACATGTATGTGAAGTATTTACAGGCTCATTGTACTGCGAAAATTTCCCTTAGCTCTTTTTCGACAAGCGCAATGAAGAGTGAACCAGAGCTTGACGTCCTTAGTCGTCCTATGAACTTTCCAGTAGCGTGCATGTCAGGTGAGCAACAATAGTCAGGATTCAAACTCCCAACATCTTGGTCAGAGAGAGGGTCACTAACCATGGTGCTACACACACTACTTCTACATGTGATAGATGCCACTCTTTTTTCCGTGCATTACAATATGTCAGACCATGCTCCCTTCCACCAACAGTACCTATGTACATAAGCTTCAGATTTGAAAAGGACAATATGCCTGTACAATGAGTCTTCGCAGTAAGACTCTTAGGACTCTCTGGTCTTTACTTTAGTGCCCATGTGAGGCTTTTTGTAATGTTTTTGTTTGTGTGTCTGTATATGTATTGCAATGTTAATTTGTATTTGCCAGTTAAGTAACTGTAAAAAATCAGTGTTATTCAGCATGTTTTTGTACAGGCTGCGTGGCTGGTTTTTATGAATAAACTGTTAAACTGACTGTCCAATATCCCTGGTCACAAGCAGTTGTACAGTAACTATAACTCACCTTGATATGACCTTGTCAGGCAGGCGGATAGTGACCCGTGTCCACGCTCCAAAGTTATCCGCAGAAAACTGGCTCTGTTCATGGTAGTGGTAGGGCAGGCAGTCAATGGAGTTGTCATTGGCAGGGAGGCACTCGCTGAGGACCGGCTCCCACTGTCTGTACTGTGGGTCTGTGGAGAACTCCAGCAGGACAGGGAGGGTGGAGGCACAGCGGTCAGCATCACTCATCCCACAGCCTACAACAATCTGCAACATCAAGGACATGTCAACATTGAGCAAAGTTTCTTAAATGTTTGAAA